TCTCTAATGCGGGGGTCTGATTGTGCAGACCTCAAAATACCTTTATTAGCATTCAAACTGTCACTTTTCTGCAATAACGTCCCCCAACCGGCGCTCCGTAGATTATTCCACCATGCCGTGCACATTAACATGGGAAAAACTATGGAGCTAGAGGTACCCAAATATAAAAAGGGTAATTAGGTGTACCCAAATGCTTTTTGCGTGTTTACATTGAGCTGTCTGGTTAAAATTCGATCCCCGCGTAATGGCACTGCCCAATCGTATTACAATATAATTATCAAAAGAGCTAATCGTTTTGCACGCCTTACCGACGTGGCGGTGATGGTTGTGGGGAACAGGGGCTAATGGTAGCTCCAAAATCATTAAAGTTAATATACTGTAGTGATATATCACCAGGTAGACCAGTTAATATAAAAATATTACTTAAGGGCCTGTTAGTGTTTTATTCTGAGACAATATTATATTGTTAAATCACTACTCAACACGATATTATATTTTTAAGATTGCTTAATCGGTATTAGTCCACCAAGCATATGCCGGTAACGCTCGACTAGCTGAAGTATTACTGAGGGAAATGGAGTCGGAGACAATTGTGAGGGTAACGACAAGATTAATGTGGTGTATTGGCACTGCTGAGCGCATAAATCTAGCGTCACAGGCTACAGGTTTATGAGACGCACGATGTGGACGAGACAATGGGAAGAGGCAGGCTTCGTTTTATTTTATCTGTGATCGAATTACCATTTCAAAACGGCAAAAAGGGTCGATTTCCCGTATATCGATGTGGCTTTGGTGGTTGATCGATCCCTAGCGGCCGATTTGGCTGCCGTAGCCCGATTTATCAGCCGCTCTAGTTGTACATTTTAAAGACCTCGAATTAATAAAACGACCTCTTCAAAGATAAATCGAGCATCAGGCTAAGTAAAAAGGACAAAAAGCACAGAAATGCACAATATTATCTCCTTTTTTTAACTCTCCGTTAGTATTAAAAAATTAAGTTAGCTTTTAAAAAAACTGACTTACTACTGATATTTAAAATCAAAAGTAGTACTATTATTATCAGAAATATCATATGATATTTTTGTTGGTGGGGAAGCCTCGCCGAGAGCTTGTCCATTGACGAGGCTTCCCCACAGCCATCACTTAATCCTACTGGTACGCCAAAGCAAATTTTCGATCTTTTTTCAAGCTGCATTAATTCCATTCATTTTTTTTATGAATTGGGGGCGACTATTCAATAAAATGCAATGCGCTTCGGGTCGACGCTGCGGCAACGTTGTATGCCATACCTTCTCTCCGTATAGGTATTGTGGTTTCTACTTAAAATTTCCGTGCGCGGTTCTTCGAATCAACCAACAAGCAATCGCGCAATCTACGTAATAGCATTTTTCATGCATCTCAATAAGAATAATATGGCGACCTGCCCCAATCAGCAATATGATTGAGGGCGTTGAAGATCGCAGCTTTGCTACAGGACCAAGCTCGAGTGTCGGGCACGACGCCTTATCAGAGTATAGGCTTTCTCCGCCCCGAAACGAGCCTATTTCGCGAACTGCAGTATCCTCGATTTCGCCCTTAACGGTTCGTGTTTCACCGTACCCTCTGCGTGAGGTAACTCCTCCGCAAGCGCCCCAAGCTTCAGATATCTTTCGAGGCCAGTGGGCTCGTGTATCATTAGATGCTTCGACCGGAAACGCCGACCAGCATCGATTGCAGCTGGTAGTCCAAGGGATTGTCAAGACTCCAGTCGGTCAACGCGATTCGTCCGGCAAGCAGCTGGACATTTTTGCTGCTAATGGTGCTTCTTTTAGTGAGATCATGCACAAGTTATGGGAGAAGTTTAGCTGCCACGTCAAAGGACAAGCTAAAAACATCGATGATGTTTGGTCAGTTGAACGCCCTGACGAAACATCATGGAGCAGTGTAATGCAGTTCAAAGCTAACAGCCGTATCGTTCCGTCAGCTAAGACACCAGAGCTCTGGAACCGGTGGACCATATCGTAACGTGGGAACACTGTAACATTGATGATATATGAATACGGGCTGGGGATCCCCAACGCGCGAGTTCTGGACGAGTTTATGCAGGCATGCATTCGCCCGCAGCACACCGATCGTTCTGGTGCTGCAGCAGGGATATCTGTTCGTGAGATAGTGGGGCGATTGCAAGAAATTTGGGGAAACACATACCAAGCAAGTGCGCCAGTATGGAGAATGTGGGCCGACGAAATAATGCGTAACTTGGACCGCTCTACCTGGGTGCTGCTTTGCTGGACAACCCACCTTCTAGACTGGAACGTTATCTAAGTCCTTCCGACGGGCAAGTCCACGAACACCTGGTGAATCTGACTAGGTTGACACGTGTGGCACTAGACACGATCGAAGCTGCTCTAGCTGATAACGCAGATCTCCGAAAGGGATGGGAAGCATACGGGCGCCGCTTAGAAAACCAAAGGCCGCATTGGAAGTGCGTAAATCCACAATCGAGGGATTTCTAGCTGATATCCCTCTTTCTGATGCTGGTGATGTCCTTGATCCGACCTCTACAATAAATAAAATATTGAGGATACTGAGCACCAAGAGTAAATTCGAAGCTGGAAATTTATTTTTCTCTTAGCATTCAGACATTTCGACCAGCTCTCTTGTCGTAAAATCTAGCGCTTCACTTCCTTCGTTTGCTTGCAATTCGCTGTTCTCAGAAAAGTGTCACTGTCGTGTTTCCTTTTCCAGTGACCCACTAGGGTCCAAATATCCTTCCCGTTTCCAGCCGCAATGCTCCAATACCTTGGCCATGTCGAAGCCAATGAATCGATCGAACGTTTCTACCACGAATGGTAAAAGATCATTGCTGCTTGACTCATTATAGTGTCTTTTAAAAGACTGCTTGATGTATCCGAACATGAATTCGATTGGGTTGAAAAATGAACAGTAAGCAGGCAAAAATATTGGTACGATTCCAATGCTCCGTAGGAAGTGGATGATTTCAGGATCACGATGAATTGAGGCACCGTCCATTATCCAGACAGAGTTTGAACCAGGATACTGGCGTACATGCCCCCGCTCTGAGTAAGCAAAATCACGACAGTAGTTGAAGAACTGCACGCGATCAAAAGTTCCATCGCAGTTATAGTAATCGAGAATACCGGTAACACACATGAACGCCAGCATCGATACTCTTGGTTTACGCTGGAAATCTCCGCGTATTGCTATTGTTTGCCCTCTTAGCGAGTATCCTCGCTTTCTGATCATGCCCCGGTTGTCAAAAAAAACTTCGTCGAGAAAGACAAGGTTGCGGTAGAACCAGTTGACATGACTGAGCTCTTCTACAAACCGGAACACATCAATTTCTTTGATGTGCATAGCCCTCCGTTCGAGAACTTTTCTTGTAAGGCCCCATCGTAAATATTCTGCCACACGGATGATCTAGAAATGCTCAGTTGGTGTGCACGAACGAATGCATCACGGGCCTCATCCAGATAAGCTAAGGGGTGGACTGCGCAGTAATTACACAGCCACTCCCGATGAGCAGTTGTGAATTTTCGAATAGCATTTGCGTCTACCCGCTGGTACGTCCCTGTCCGCTCGTACACATTAATCCAATTTCCGATGGTCTTAACATTCTTTTGATAAATGTGGGCAAGCTGTGAGCGCGAGAATCCGAGACAGTAAAAATCGTAGAGACAGTGAAAAACTGTATTCGGGTGGGGATGCTGTCGAATAACGGCGTCTTCCATTCCGGACGCTAAACGGCAATGGGAATGACAGGCAGGTAGATCTGTAGCATGTAGACGTACGCATTCTGCTAGCTAGAGAACGGAAACATAAGTGACACGGTCGACTTAACCTCTTCGGAAGCGCGGCAAATCAGGGGTGGCAATTTGAAGAATGGTGATCGTGATGCAAATCTGGCTTTTGACCAATCAAAGCACTTGGGCGATTTGCGGGCAATAGCCCCGAAAATGTAAATTTAGCCTGAAAGCACATTACCAGTGACGAGATGTGGCACTGTGCCACATCTCGTCCACGGAACCTTCGTAGGCAATAGAGTGGTTCCTTGATATTTTGTGTGTCTTACCAGTCTATGCGGGTGTGCAGCACTTGCTATGCTGTAGTTGATCAGCACTTTGCGTCATTGGAGTGGTCAGGCGCAGAAGAACCGGGTAATACTATTCATACGTGCTACTGCCGATGCTTTCTGACAAGCACTTTTAACCCTTATTAACATTATCCACTGAGCAAACACCAATTGCAAAACCGAAACCTACAATGGAAATGTTTAGATCGCCTACATAACTCTAGATATATACGCGCGAAGCGCTTGTAAAAGCTGGCTTGTCCCATAGCGAATTGGAAGGAGATTTAATTTTATAGACACACTATTTCAATATGAACTCCAAAACGAGTTCATGGCTACTTCCGACTCAGCGAAACAAGCACTTTCGTCAACACAATTAACTTTTCATGTGTCTACGTATAATTTGTTGGTCTCACTCGCATCGGAGATCACATTCAAAAACGCCTACACTTGCTGTAGACTGGGCATTTGTCGTCTCATTTAGGGTGATCGATGTATTAAATTACTTTATGCCACCGAGCAAAGCTCAGTCGTAATATGGAGACGTGATATACAATACATTTTTTGTTCTCTTAGCCCAGTTAGCGACATTTTTTGCAATTCTGTGAGGGTACCTTTGGAGCACCTATTTGAGTACACCAAATAGCCCTATTTCTAAATTTTAGTACCTCGAGCTCCGTAGTTTTCCCAGGACTGCGGGCGAGGGTGCATACTCAGTAGAATACGAATACATGTGCATGTACCGGTACGCTGTTCCGCTGTTCTTCATCACGACGACGTCGTACCCTTGAATCTCTAACGATTTGCAGCTCGTCATCATTTATAGCCGTAATCGAGTTAGCCAACTTATGAGAATACAACCTCCTTCATTGTGCAATTCTCCCACAAAGGCACCGACCCCCCCCCTCCCCCCAGCTTCTGCAGCCCTATGCGTCTCTCTACGCTTCTGTTGATGCTTCCACTGATTGCTCATAGTGGCGCCGTCTGTAGAACTGCTATCCAAGACGTTGACGAAAGCTTACCAGAGCAAAATCGGTTTCTTCGGTTGAATGGGGGAATGCCTGGTGACGAGGAAGAGAGGCTCCTGAATTTTGGGTCGTTAACAAAATTGATCCCGGGCACAAGTGCTTCAAGAAAAGCACATGCATTGAAAGCTGCACAAAAGGCAGAAGAAGCTGCGAAGAAGAAAATTATGGCAGATATTTGGTTCCAGAAGTTTAAGAGATACGAATACCTGTTCGCGACTGCGTTTTCGAAGTGGAAGAAGGAAAAGATGTCCCCCGAAGATGTCAGAAGATTTTTTGAACAAAAAGGCGTGGCTGGTTCGGAGGTGAATAGAATCGCTGCACGCTTCTACACTTATCGCATGAGCTTAGCTCATTGAGCTATCAGCGAAAAGTAAAGAGTGGTGCTAGATAAAAATCGAGCTGCTTCCAGTTCGCCTAAAGCAAAAACAATAATGTATACGAATACAGCCCAGTCTGACCTGTTGTCAGGATGCTAACTCAGAGGATTTATTTTATAGTATTTGATAGCATTGCCGGGCTGTCTGAAAGCCCCTATTGTGTGAGGGAGAGGCATCATTGACGACCGCAAATAGACACACATTCTCAATGTTTTCGGCAGGTGAGCTGCGATAGCATAACGTTGCCAATGAAAAGGAGACACTAAAAGTAACAGGAAATAGAAGTTTGAGCTTTTCACTTGTAATTTCCTTTGACTACTTTGGCTGTCGTCTCATTCTTCGCAATTCCATACATAATGGCCATGCGATCGGTTTTACGTGTACCCTGTTGGAAAGAAGCGGCCCGGCTCTAAGGGAGCCGAATTTTTAATAGAAGCTGGCTCGCGAAGACATCAAACTCCATATTTCATGTACAAATCGGGAATCCGGGCTTCGGCTCGGCTCGTCCCCAATATCACTCATGAGGTTCCATTAAGTAGTAGAGCAATTAGCTTTCACAACGTACTGGAAAATGTGTGCGGAACACGGTGATACCCGAATATCGCTAAAAATTGAAGATACTGCGATAAAAAAAACCTAATGGTACCCAAAATCCTCAATGAAATGAATCTTTGTGGCCACAATTTCAGCTGTAATTGACAGCTAATAATATCACGTAGAATCTCTAGCAAAAAAACTGAAACATTTTATGGCTCGAAAAAAAATGTGTTACTTTCCAAACGGGGCACTCCATTGTTTTTAATTGTAGAAACAATAGTGTGCCAATTTACGGCGTCGATTGGAGCGCCTAGATAGGAACAAACACCTATTGCCGATAAAAATGAAAAACTCGTATTTGCTCATAGCGTTAGTGTCACCCTGCCATGAGTATATATTTTCAGCTAGTCACTTTAATTTTCGAGATAGTCACTCTGTAAGCATAATGTACAGATGAATGGAATTTGTTGTGCTAATAACAGTTTCTAAAAAAACCTCCTTTTAAATTGAAATGGCTTAGATTTGTTTACTATACTTTATGAAGGAGGCGCACGATCTTAGCGGCTGGAAAGGGACGAGTCTGAAGAATGACTTCAACAGAAATGAACAAAGCTGCCATTGTGCCCTGTTCCATAGTTTTACTGGCAGGCGACAAACGTGACGGCTGGGGTCATTCATTGTGAAGGAGAGTGTGAGCGCATAAGACACATGTAAATATTAGTCAATATAAGGAGCAAGTTGACGAGGTCGCGGATATGTACGCTGGTGTTAGCTAAACACGATACTGTAGATCAAAAGGCACAGCGATCCTGCAAGCAGTGTCCACATCCGCATTGAGGAGTAAGTTCCAACAAAACGAATGATCCTTAGACAAAAATTAAAATCGGTTAGTATTAGGAAAGACAATCGATGAGGCTTTTCACGGATGAGAGGCAAGCGATGAGCTCGTCGACGATTTTTAAAGCGTCATCGTTCGAGAAGGATTAGACAAGAAATGAGACAAACCTGTGTGATGTCTGAAGCCCCCCCCCCAAATTTGTTGTATTGTGCCTTTCCCCAATTGGACCTTAAGAGGCTCGTCCTGAGAAGGAGATGGTAGGGCTATACCAAAGATTTGATAAAGATTTAATCTTTGGCAGCCTCAAGTCCTACGCAAGGTCGGAACACGTTTGTACCGGTGTAGACAATACAGTCCGAATTGCGATTTTTCGCTGGTAATTTTCTCTTTTGTAGGCCCTACGCAAGAGGCCTGGCTGGTAAGAATAGAACCAGCAATGCAGGTATGCAGAGCTCAAATGACTTGATGAAGACTCGTCCAGGCGTTAGCTGTACTTAAGTATAAAATAACAAAATAGAAAATTTATCTTAGACATGAACGTACGGCTTTCATAACTCCGATCGAAGGCTAGCTGCACTCATGTGACATCGCTGCTGGGAAGAACAAGCTTTTGTAGCTACGCAGGAAAATATGTGTATTTAATCTAATCTAACGATGTCCAACCAGGCAGCTTCAAAAGTGTATTTAATACCATAGCACTCATTACGTTATTATCAATATCTATCATTCATTTTGATACTTAGGTACATCATATATTCCTAGTTATTCCTGATCTTGATACGTCGAATACGTAGCGCTGTATCCGAATACCGCTATGTATCGTCGGTTGCTCCGAGCCCCTGCTCCCGGCTTCTCCCTCATTCATCAATTGAGCTAGAGCCGCCAAGATGCCAGGCGAACATACCACCGATGGTCAGCGTTTCCCGGTTGGCCACATCGTGATAATGAAGAGCTCGATCATGTGGATATAAAGGAGCAGCGCAAAACTGCTTATTCGAGTAGACTAAACGGACGTGTCGGATGAAAATGTGCAAGGTCTTGATACGATGCAAAGAGAGAGAGAGAGGGCTAAGCAAGAGGAAGGGCGCAAGCGGCAATTGCCCTTGCTTGACTACTTCGGACGTAGTGAATTTCCCATAGTTAAACACCTCGGAAAAGTAGTTTTTTTGTGGTTTTGCCTTACATATTACACGGGAGAGGTGAGATGGAGAAATTTTAATTCTGTCGGCGGGACTAGGGATTACAACGGGAGGGTAAAACGCACGATAGTACTTCTTAAACTGTAGTAGTATTTAAAAGTACTGGTTCGTGCAAACAGGAAAATTGGATGGCATACGGTTCAGACTTGCAGGAACATATTCTCAAGACTCATGCGCAAAAGCGTGAGTGCATTTTCCAACATCATTCATTGCAATGAGACATACTACTAAGTCGTAGTACTACCGATACCTCGAGTTTAAGTTCCGGCAACGGTGTGATAGTTGATCCACCAGGCCGTATATTTCTCGTAGACCTTCTCGTATCTGAGTTCGGCAGCTCCTCCAATCTCCAAACGCTTTGCTAATGACGTGGGGGTTTCTCCCTGCTTCATCATATGCTGAAAAGCCTTCTCCAACGCGTTCGCCTTCCACTTAGCCCAGCCGTTCTTCGCCTTCGAGATCAAGTTTGTAACCTTCGACGGGAGAAGTCCTCTCTCCTCCTCCTTGACATCCGAATCGTCGTTAGCTGTCGTCAAATCTTGATTTGCGTTGCTTCGCAGGAATCGCTTGGCGGCATCACCGTCCTCGACGAAAAAAAGACGGGTCAATGTGTCAATGTCCTTCATCGTTAACTGTGTAGATTGGGGCTCATTCGAGTTGGCGAGCTTAGAGATAGCATGGGTACCGGAAACGAAGGTTACCAGGCCCACAAAGAAGACCCACACTAAAAACCGCATGCTTTAATCTGTCAGGGCTTCGAAGACAAACTGAGGTCCAAAAGCAAAGTGAAGTCTGAAGACTACGGCGCGGCTAGAGAAACCTCGTCTACCGGCAAAGCATGATCTACTATCTTGCGTTCGGATAAATATGGGATGGTGTTGCTGCCGATCCCTCTCCAGAAGCAGAAGTGTCTTCGTCTCATGTACCTCCCTCCAGGAGTACTACCGAAATTTGCCTGTATTACTGCAATACATCAAAGCCTGCGCCGAATTAAAAAATACTTCGAAGTATCTTATAATGGTACACAATATTTAGTGTCTATTACATCAGTTGACGCACAAATTACAAAAATGCAGGAAAACCAACCAGTAAATCGTAAACAAGCTAGCAACTTCCGATGTGTTGAAGACATTGTCTTCAAAGCTCGTCAGTGTTTTCTGTCTGGTCTTCCGAGGTACTTTTCAAGAGGTACCATGTTACTGCTCATAAAGGTATACACTATCATCTGATCACACGATCTCATAGACGGTCCTGCGACTGCGACAGCACACGCCTTCGGCGTCAAGTGCAAAACAGCAAGTTTTGCCGCTGAAGCACAAGTCTTTCGTTTTAGCTACTGGGATACTGTACACCAAGTTAAATACTGCTATTGTAGTTGGTTTCGTAAACGTGTAGCTGTCGTTTGACTCATCCTTTGTAAAGACCTTACCGTAGCTGTCTTGTCAAATTGTCACCACGTCCTTTTTGATTATGCCATGATATGGGATCGCGACCCGTCTGGTCCTGGACCACTGGTCCAGACTTTAGGATTGCGCCTTCCAAAAGGCACGTGCTGGAGAGCCCAACTGGATATTATGAGACGGGGCATTTGCCCCAACTCGCCCCAAACCGCGACCAAACCGAGACCAAACGAGCCCAACCTGAGCCCAATCCAGCCCAAGTGGAAGCCTTCTAAATCGAGCCAGCTCCTCGTGTATACGTATAGCCGAATAGAGCGATGTGTTGGAGCTGGATCTCTCAGCGTCCACGTGGTCTCGGCGCCGCGACTGCATTTCAGCGTTATCATGGAATTCAAGCTTGATAGAAATCAGTCGTATCAACTTTAAGATAACATGTGAGAAGGCCAAAATATATTGAGAGTTAGCGATATTCATTCGTCTGCGCTGCCTCTACAGACACGTACAAAGATAGCGGTAACGCAGGCACTGCAGCATCTTTTTGTCCACGTGACCTAGTGGTTCTGCGCCACAAAACATTTAAAAAAAAGCAAGCAAGGCGTAGATTCCGCAGTTGTAGCTGTCAGTCTGAACCCCGAGTCCTGCGTCGAAGACTCTCACCCGAAACGCTTTCTGTGCACCTGGAGGCAGTAGCACTACCATCGTCTGCGCTACGGCACGTACGTTGACGACGTACGAAGAAGAACTCGAATCGTACACGTAAATGACTCCACCCTCGAGGTCCATCATAATAGCACACCAGTGGTTACCGTTGCAATTCACTGGAATCAACACCTTCTCCGTCGTCAGCCCAGATAACGCCTCTCGAATGATTTCGCTGGAGGTGTTCACGCTTCCGTCCACAACGATTCCCAGTGTCGAAGAGTCGAAAACGGCAATATTGGGCTTACAACCAAACAGTTTGGCCAGTATTTTGTACATTACCTCGTCCGTTATCAGCTCTTTACC